CTGAAAACCGTTGCGTAGGGTAGGGTAGGGAGGCGGGGGAGGAAAGGGCCGTCAAGTTGTAGATGGCTTGTGACGATCCTGTAGAGTTCCCAAGCAGAGTTGCCAGGACCCAATGACGCACTGGCAGGGGGCAGGAGGGAACTTTCCGGGAGCGGGGAGGAGCGTCACGACGTGCCTATATCACCAGGAAGAGACACAGGCATGTTGGGGACGTTGGGTGGCGATGCTCTGGGTTTTTTGACCAAACTCTATGGTAGAATTAGCTACAAACCATAGAGTTTTGCCCCAACACCAGAGTGTCGCTGCCTGACATCCCCAATGTCCCTATGTCACTTCCGGGTTGCATATGCATGTTGTGGTTATTTCTGGCTTCTCGGAGATAAGAGGGGGTAATTTGGGGGGGGGTGCCCGAAAGAGGGAGACTCCCACCCGGACCAGGGGGTCTGGCAACCCTAAAAGAAATGTTCAAAGGTGCTCTGCCCCGGGCCTGCCTCTGCGTCTCGGCCCCGGACTTCCTTGGTGGTCTCCCATCCAGATATTAACCAGGGCTGACCCTGCTTGGACTTCCTTGGTGGTCTCCCATCCAGATATTAACCAGGGCTGACCCTGCTTGGCTTCTGAGATCTGATGAGATTGGCCTAGCCTGGGGTATCCAGGGCAAGGCAGTTTGGGGTGGAGGGGTGTCAAAAGTTTGCAAAGTGCCCCTTCTGCTCCTGACATTGTATCTCACAATGATCACAGACATGCCGCAGGTACCTGCATTTTCCAACTTCTTTTTCACTTCAAGAAAAGCCTCTTGTATTTGCTGAGAGTTGGTGATGTCCAGCTGCAGGACAGAAAGTCTTTCCGAGCAGGTTTTCCTCAGCTCTTCTGCTCCGGACCCTCTCTCGTTCAAAACGCCGGCAAACACAACAAAGCCCAAGTGGTCAAGGAATCTGGCCAGCTCATGTCCGATCCCAGAGTCACTTCCTGAAGAGACACAAAACCAAAGATGTATTTAGGCCAGAAGTCCTTCCTAGGGTTGCTAGGTCTCCTGCTACATGGTTGCATCATAGAGGTTTCATAAATCCTAGAGTGTCCCATGACATCACTTCCAGTTTTTAACCAAAAGTGACATCAGTTTGCCTTTCTTCCTACAGAGCTCAAGGTGACATACAGTATTAATAAAATACATCAAAAAATTTTAAAAACACTAACACAGGGGTGTTAAACTCATTTGTTATGAGGGCCAGATCTGACATAAATGAAACCTTGTTGGGCCAGGCCCCGTGTGTCATAAAATGTAATGCCAGGCAGTGGAGATATAAACTTTATAAAGGACACAGTCAAACACAAAGATTTTTTAAAACTTTAAATAAAACATGCTTAAAACACTAGTACTCTTGTAATATTTTGTCTATTTAACTGTCTGATAACTGATACCTCTTGTTTTGAATTATTGCATCAAAATGTCTCTGCAGTCTTGAGTATGCTGTTCAGGTGTGCATCTGTAAGCTGCAAACCAATGCTCCCTCTAAGCTATAGAGTCTTGTGAGCAAAAATTCTACTTTGTGAGCTACTGGCATTGAAGTTGTGAGCAAGTGATTTGGCTCCTCCATAAATTAGTTTGCTCTGGAGCCGTCCTTCCTGAGCTAAGACAAAAATATGTGAGCCAGAGGCTAAAAAACTGTGAGCTAGCTCACACTAACTCAGCTTAGAGGGAACACTGCTGCAAACCTACTTTTGATTTATTCACATACATTACAGAAATCTCATGCTCAGTCTTCTGAGCCTAGGACCTAGGGGAAAACATGAAATGGCTGCGCATTGCAACCTTTTGTACATAAGTTGCTTCATGTGCTGGTCAAGAACATGAGAAGGCATCCTGACACAGACTGAGGTCCATGTGTTTGTCTACAAAACTATAGTCTCCCCCAGATAAATAACTACAACTTCCTACAAAGGAAATGTGCTAGATGAACTTCGTCTGGACACATGCTCTCAGCCTAATCGACCTCACTGGCTTGCTGTTATTCCTCCTCTAAAATAGTTCACATTACTTTCTTACTGAGAAAGACTGGATCTTGATAGCATGACTACAGTGAAAAGGGGGAGGGAATTCAGCTATATGCGGGAGAACCCTGGCATAAAGAACCCAACAAAACATACACACAATGTAGCAAGGCACAAAAAAGCTCATAACTTGAACAAAAATGTGTTGGTCTTAAAGGTGCTGGTATTTCTCCTGTGAGATTCAGGCAGCCCAGCAAAACAAGCTCTCCCTCGTTCCATCCCGCCCATCATAGAGGAGCCACAGCCAGTTGAAGGAAAGAAAGGTTTCCCATTGTCTCCTGCAGCCTGGCTAGGAAGCAAGCTTTGGCTGTTTCCTCCCTCCCCCTGGAAGGGGGAGGAGCCTCAGCCAGTTCTTTATCAAACTCTCTCAATCACACAAGAGAGGCTTGCTTATCTATCTCTCCTGTGCGACCGAGAGAGACTGGTAAAGCAAGGTGTGACTTGGCGGCAGCAGCAGAACTGGAAACAGCCAGGTTCTTGTGGGCTACCCTAACATTTAAAATCAACATTTAGGCCTGCCTTAACTGAATTCTGTGCTAAATAAAACTGTCTTCAGCTGCCTCCTAAAGACTGAAAGTGAGAGACCCAGGCGCAACTCCTTGGGGAGGTCGTCCCATAACTGGGGAGGCTGCCACTGAAAAGGCCCTCTCTTGTGTACCCACCAAATGAGCATCTTTGATTAATGGGACAATCAGGAGGTGCTCTCCCTGTGATCCTAATTCCCAGGTAAGAACCCTCAAGTTGACCTTGAGGGTACTGGCAGATATCAACTTCAGTAAGAAATGGCTGCATTCCCGAAGCTAACTTGTTCCACGTCAGACCATTGGCCTATTACAGCATCATCTCCTCTGACTAACTGTGCCTCTCCAAGGTCTCAGACTGAGAAAGTCCTTCCATGCCACCGTCAACTTTTTAGCTGGATGTAGGGACCGTCTTGTGGAGCTGCGGTGGCTCAAGTGGTTAAGACGCTGAACTGCAGGCTGTGGAAGGTCAGTAGTTCAGCAGTTCGAGACCTGGGTGCCGCATGATGGAGTGAGTTCCCATCTCTAGTTCCAGCTCCTGCCAACCTAGCAGTTCGAAAGCAAGAAATTGCAAGTAGATAAATAGATACCCCTTCGGTGGGAAGGTAACAGCGTTCCGTGCGCCTTGGTGTTGAGTCATGCTGGCCACATGACCACGGAAACGTCTTCGGACAGCGCTGGCTCTTCAGCTTTGAAACGGAGATGAGCACCGCAACCCTAGAGTCGGACTCGACTGGCTTTCGAGCAAGGGAACCTTTACCTTTACCTTTTTAGGGACCATCTTGGACCTCGTACCGGCAAACCATGAGCTCTACCATTGAGTTATGGTTTCTTATTTAAAATATTGTTACCATGGTTTGGAACTGAACCTCTCTGAGCAGCACACGTTGTAGCTGTTTTCTACCACCCGATCCTTGTCTGGCTAGCTCAGCATGTTCTGTTTTGACCCGCTGCAGGTGTCCAGGACCACAGGCAAAGAAAGGTCTCCTCCTGGTACCTAAGATCCGTGACCTGGTGATCCAAGAACCTGGGACCTTCTCCAGGCGAATCTGCTATTGAGGGCCATAACAGACATGGCGAGTATCACATCTTTCCACCCTTTTTAAAAAATATTTTTATTTTATTTTATATAACACTTACATACAACACATCAGAACTATAACTAGAAACATTAAACTATGAACTAGGTGGCTGTTAGTAAAAATATTAATACAAATATAAATATATAAAAAAATAATCAATATTTTCTTTGAAATGTCAGATAGGTTTTACAAACAAATAAGTATTTCTTAATATTTTGTAGGCATTTTGCTTCGAGGTGGTAAACTCTCATCGTGAATATAATCCAAAAAAGGAAGCCATTTGGTCAATAAGTTCGTGGTAAGTTCTCGTTCTTCAATTCTTTGTATAGTATCTGTTATTTTGTCCATTGTTAAGAAGTCCCATAGTTTCGTAAACCACCTTTTGGTGGATATAGGATTGGAATCCTTCCAGCTGGATGCAATCAAAGTCTTAGCAGCTGAGAACATGATGGAAATTAATTCTTGCTGCGGTTTAGGAACCATGTTGTCTGTCCATAAGTCAAGTAAAAATTGCTTTGGATTTTCTTTACTCTCATATCCCGTTATTTCTTTTATATACATAAGTATTTTCCTCCAAAACTCTTTAACAATAGGACAATCCCACCAACAGTGCAAAAAGGATCCATGATCACCACATTTCCTCCGACACAAATTTGAATAGGAGGGGGAGACATGGTGTATTTTGCTTGGAGTATTATACCATCTCATCATTAATTTAAATGCTTGCAATTTTATAGGAATGGATCTGGATGTCAAAGATGGTGAAGCCCAAATCCGTTTCCACTCATTTTCAGTAATGGAATTATTACAGTCTGCTTGCCAACTCTTTTGATATTGTGATATTTGGATCAGACTTAAGTCCACTACGATTTTGAAGTTAGATGAGATGGTATTTTTAGGTTGCAGTTGGGTAGGTTTCAGATGCCGTTCAAAAGTTGTAAGGGGTTCTTTCCACCCTTCTGTAAGAGTCAAGCAGTTTCCGTAAGATGCAATTATATTTATTCTAACGATGTTCTTTGCACTCCCTTTGTCAGATACGAGTAGCGGTGGAGAACGCCAAGGCCTCATATCCGTCTGACTTGAGTTCATTCACATATTCAAAAAAAAGAACAACGGGCGCCTCAGGGCGGAACAGGGCCATCCGATTTTTATCTCACTACAGAGGCTAATTTTGTGCCCCCGAGCAACCCTCTCCTGCTCTGATCCAGCTGATTAGATTTTTCATTGCACCGCTGCATCCTGACTCATTCCTTTGCAACACCCTTCCACCTTCAGGCTGGGATATAAAGACTCAGGGGTTGCTGCTTCTGCTTGTACCCGATGACGGGAGCGTTGACTCTTGGAAACTCATACCGTGGGAATCTCTTTTTTTGTGTGTGTGAGAGTGTATGTGTGCATATGCCTGGAAGTCAAGGTTGACTTCTGGTGATCCCTAGGTGGATGTTTCAGAGAGGTGGCTTGCTATTGCCTGCCTCTTCATCCCAGCACTGGTATTCCTTGGAGGTCTCCCTTCCAAGTATTTGCCAGGGCCGGCCCTGCTTAACTTCTGAGATTTGACAAGACCATATACCCTGAAAATCGTGTTGGTCTCTAAAGTACTGCTGGACTTGAATCTAGCTGTTCGGCCGCAGACCAATCCGGCTACCTTCTGAAGTTCAGTTCAAGTGATGAAGAGAAGAAGAAGAGTTGGGTGGTGTTGTTTTTTTAATTCCCTGCTTTTCTCCTCCCTAAGGCGTCTCAAAGTGGCTTGCAATCGCTTTTCCCTTCCTGTCCCCACAACAGTCACCTTGTGAGGTAGGTGGGGCCGAATAGAGTTCTGAGAGGACTGTGACTGGCCCACGGTCACCCAGCAGGCTTCACGTGGAGGAGGAGTGGGGAATCAAACACGGTTCTCCAGATTGGAGGCCACTGCTCGTAACCACTAAAACTATGCCGGCACATTGGCGGAACTCACACTGAAGTTAGGTACAGTCCTGGTCAGTGTTCCCTCTAAGCTGAGTTAGTGTGAGCTAGCTCACAGTTTTTTAGCCTACGGCTCACACATTTTTGTCTTCGCTCAGGAAGGAGGGCTCCAGAGCAAGCTAATTTATGCAGCAGCCAAATCACTGGCTCACAACTTCAATGCCAGTAGCTCACAAAGTAGACTTTTTGCTCACAAGACTCCACAGCTTAGAGGGAACATTGGTCCTTGTGTAGAGTAAAACCCTCAGACAGACGTGTCTGTAGCACCGTCTGGCCATCTTCTGGGGTTCTAACCTCTAGTCCAAAGCTTAGAAGTTGAATTGCTCTCCTCCCCCCCAGTCTCTGCTGATTT